GTCCTATACAGGATCTCACAGATTTTTCACATGTTAAAAATGAAAGCTATCTCTAGCACTGTTCCCATTTTAAATGAGCTTCCCTGTTTTTTCACTGACTTCAGCTCTCAAGTGAAAAGAGAAACTCAAAACGAGGAAGTTAGTTCAGCGCATGCAGGAAATCTTGAATTTCCAATATGTTGTTATTGCTATTGAATACCAGATGCACCTGAATGTTTGTTTCACGATGGTGCATCTGATGCCGATTCACATGCTGTAAAAGTGTATTGTGTGTTAACTAAGATACACAATAAAGATCAAAGACACGTATGTTGCACTGTGTCGAAGTGCATAAATCAGCAGTATCTAACCTTTCAATACAGTCATGTGATGTTCCTCAGTTGGACATAAATTACTGACTAAGATATGTGTCTGCTCACAGTTTCTCATCTTTATGGCTTTATAGTGCTTATTATTTTGCGCATGGTTGCTAACGGTCTCAGAGGAACACAGATCAGTCACAAGTAAAACCACGGAAACCACTTTGGCCCAAAGTCTACTCTACTGTGCTTGCATAGTGGCTCACAAAGTCTTTGTGGGTTTGATATGACTGATGAAGTGCTTACTGCCTATTGTTTTGTTACCTCAGATGCTGCCATACAGAAAGCTTGTGCATTTTGAGCTAGAAAGTCAGTACTCACTGTCTGTTGTAACCTCTAAGCCCTTCTTGAACTTCTCAAGGTTGACTTTGGGCGGTCTGTTGGGTTTGGCAGGAGCGTTGCCCAGAGCATAGCTATTGGGTAGAGGTTTCTTCTTGGGTGCCGAAGGATCATCGTTGGCTGTCTGTACACGAGGTCCGGATGATTTTCTTGGGAAGTTGGGTTTATTAGGCACTACGAGCTTTGAGACTGACTCATTAGCACTTGGTACTTTAGCACCTTCCTCTGGTTTGTTGAAGCTATTTTTAACACGGAAACTTGATGGTTTCACATTAGATACTGAGGAAGGCTTTGCAGGAGACTCCATGTTGCTGCTTTCCTCTGGCTGTTGGCGTAGCATAGCCATGTTGCTTTTTGGTTTGGGTGCCAATGGCTTTTTTGGAGGAGTGGGAGTAGGGTTAGTGCTGTTGTCTTCAGCTTTCTGGGTGTCTTTGATCCAGGATGGTTTTGTCGTAGGAGCCATTGGCTTTGAATCATTCGCCATGATGCTTGAAGGAGGCTTCTGTAGTGGTGCCTTTGGGAATGGGACCTTTGGAGTCTCATGGTCCTGGGACGAGTCTGGTGGTTTGGGTTTAACAGGAACTTTAAAGTTGACTTTGTTGTTCTCTTGTGTGTTTTCAAACCTAGTCCCAACAGCCTTTAACTTCGGAGGTTCGTGCATGTCTGGAGCGCTTCTAGCTGTGTTGACTGTGTTCTTAGGTTTAGGGGCGGTTGAGGTAGTAGTAACTCCACTGGATAGGCTAGTTTCAAGAACAGGCTTCTTAGCAGGCACCGCTGGGCCTGAAGACAAGGTGGGCTGGACAGGTGGTTTTGGACGAACACCTGGAGTCCCTTCCGTAGATACACTTCCTGCTTGGAAAAGAGCCATGATTGCTTTTACGTCGGACTTGTTGTCCTGCAAGCCAAGATTGAAAGTCAAACTTTGAGGAATGAAGACAAACCTGGGCAGAGTGTTTACATCTGTATTTGTGTATTTCGTCATTCTGTTTTAGCTTTTATCTGTGTGTGATTACTAGTATACTTCATAGCTTTTATTACAATTAAATGTATGTATGTTATGACAGTTTTATCCAAAGCGATTTACATTACATTCAGCATTTTTTCAGTTCATTCCCTTGGGTTCAAAATAATGACCATGGCGCCATAAAAAAAGTATTGTTTTGAGAGCAAAAAATGACAAAGAAAACAGATGAAAGTGCACCTCCATGAGCGTTAGGGGCCAACGCTGGGGATTATATTTGGTCATGCAGTTTTCGTGGTTTGTGTGTCGCTCAATTGCAGTTGCATGGTTCGGTTGGGTAACGCTGTTTGGTAAATCTCTTTCAGAATTTTCCATCCCATAGGCCTCAACAGCTCATAACCAAGACAGACTGCATGACTACAATGAGTTAATTTGGCATGCAGATACGTGGATACATGGCAATTTAAAGCAAATTATGTACAAACTAAAAAAAAAACAATACAACATAATCTTTCCACTTTAAAAAATATATATATATTTATATACAATATGAATAATACTAGGAATAAATACTACAAACTTGACATCAAAGCAGTATATAAACTCAAGCGTACATACTTTTGATGTTTGTCTTATTGAATGTGTATTCTATTTAGATTTTTGAATTAGGGTTAAGGTTGTGTCAAGTGTATTTGTATAATGTCAAATATCTGCCTTTTGTTATATTGAACTGTCAGTTAATTCTGTACAAAGATTTATCAGATTTATGCTCATTACTTTAAATAAGCCGCCTGAACTGTCTGTCTAATAAATCGAATAAAACATGTAAACAGCAGCGATATTTGACATTTAAGTCACATTGCATGTTAGAGATGTTTATAAAATATCTTTTACCTCTGATTCTGGATCTTCACTACAACTTAGCATACTTGATTTCTCCATCACAGCTCTTTGTAGTCAACTGCACTGAACATGAGAACTGTTTGTGATCACACAGGAACTGAGAACATCATACCAAACTAGCAGGAAGTCACTACACTCACTACTATAGTACTCATATCTACAAAATAATGTATTGAAAATACTTTTTCTAACACTGTATATATAATTTGTGCTAGATGTATAAAGGGCACAATGAAATGCAGGACGCAGTGAAATGAAACGTTATTTTATAACCACAAAATAGCTATTAAGACCAGTTTGTCAATTGGTCGTCATTCAAATTTCACGCAATTGGATGCAAATCTCCTTCTGGAAAAAACAAAACAAAACGTCATTTATGTGTCTGCAGTATGTTCCTGATGTGTAACCAAGCTTTTTTACCCAGATGCCTCCGAGCTACATGTCTTTGTTTTCACAGAAACACGATCCTCTGGACCAGTGTTAACATGTCTAGCGATACAAAGCCATACATGTGAGACTCTGGGCGACGTGTGTGGTGCACCCTTAGTAACAAGCGTTTGTATCAGGACAGACCTCTCACCAGGAAGCGCTGATAAGCTCTGGACTAGCTTCTAATGTGACTGACCCAGAGGTACACACTGTGCTGTTGACTCACTGAGCAAAAAGAGAAACTGCTAGACACAGGAACTAACATTGATCAATCAATTACAATATCACTATGCTCTTGACAAACAACAGCACTGTAGACATTTCTCGCAAGTTAATTTAAGTCATTTTAAACCCCATATAGCACTTTAGTATATGGATATACAGTATAGGCAACACTTTTTTTCCCAAATGTATAAATGTATGTCTTTGCATTGCTGTATAAAATATCCTGTTAAATTTACGGTAAAAAGCAGCTGTGGTTGCCAGAAATTCTTTGTAAAAAATTACCTGTATTACAGGATGCCTTTGTATTTTACAACTTATAACTGTATATATTTCATTAAGTCATACAATGTTAATATTACCAATCTACTTAACTATCAAAATCTGATTTTCACCTTAAAATGTACTGATAACCACCACAGTGCAGGTGGTATAATGGAAAACCATCACGAATCAGATTTCATCGTAAGTTGCCTGTCATTGCCAGCCATAAACACAAAGACAAAACACCATGCAGGCTAACTCACATGACACTAATGTAATGCAATAAACATTAACTAAATAACTGAAAATGTAACAAAAAAAACATCCCAGTGTACATTACTGATAACAAAAATAGGAAACAAATCTATTTCAAGAAAATAATCATATGTGATAAGTTATTACTTCTGGGAATTACCGTAAAACCATTGGACTGTATTTTACGGTAAAATGTGATGATTAACACTTTACAATTTATTCGCCATCTATGGTAAGATAACTTACAATTAATCAAGTTAAGGTTGCATCTTATTTAAGTTTGTTAGGTTTTAAAAGGTAAGACAATAGACTGTTCAAAATGAAGACAAAAGAGTGTGGTGACAATAGACTTTGCTCCATGTCGTTTTGTTCATGTTTTTTTAAACTTTGACCTGAAAATTCATATTGTGACAGATTGACATCTTAGATCAATAAAAGAATTTAAACTTGAAAGCTCAGGGTTTGTAGTTTTGTGAGAGAATGAATTAGTTTGTATATTTTTACATTGTAAATTATTATTTGTTATTTACAATTTATTTAATTTTTTATTATTGCTTATAATGTTATTTATTTTATAATTTTACTATTGTGTTTATCATATTGCCCATATTCATTGTAGAGTAGTTAGGATTTATAGGTGCATCTCAATAAATTAGAATGTCGTGGAAAAGTTCATTTATTTCAGTAATTCAACTCAAATTGTGAAACTCGTGTATTAAATAAATGCAATGCACACAGACTGAAGTAGTTTAAGTCTTTGGTTCTTTTAATTGTGATGATTTTGGCTCACATTTAACAAAAACC